TTCACCTTCTCTGTTCCTGATGTAAATTACAGCTGTCGCCAGCAAAACAGCTTCGAAAATCTTTCAGGCATAGGAGGCGGTGAGCGAAGACATCTGAGAAGCTACCTCCAGTCGGGAGGGATCTGGAGCACAGGAATCCTTCTGAATTTCTTTTTGCGCTTTGACGGCAAATGTTTTCCACTGAGGAAAATGCAACAGGCTATGATGGTGTGAATTACATAAACTGCACAAACTGTTTGATTTGCATTCTGTCACCTTATGCGATGGTTTAAGGCAATTAATACAAAGATCAAATTTTTTTACAGTCTCAAAACGCTTGTTTACAGCTAAATTTTTATCACTGTTTGGATTTATCACACATATAAATTTCATGCGTCGATTTACATAATTTACAATTGTTGGTCGAAGTATGTTTTGAATTAACTAAAAATCCCTTTGCCTTGATATTAGGAGTGAAGGACTTGGAATTTGGATTGGTAATTTTACTTGTGTTTTCAAGAACCTGACATCTTTTTTCAAGGAATGCGATAAAGTCTGCCCAGTTAGGAGGCTCAGTAGTCTTCAAACTCATTTCGAATAATTTATGAGTTTCCTTATCTAATTCTGGGGAGAATTAAATTTATCAGTATGAGATCCGAAAATGTATGCCTTTCAATGCTCCAATCTTAAGAGCTCTAATATTTCGAAAAATATTGTCCACTAACTTTTTGAGCTCGACCGCCAATTCATGATTTATTTTTTCTATGTTTATAATGGAGTTAATGTTTCTGTCAACAATTAAGCGCTTATTTTCAAAGCGATTTTCTAATGCTTTATATAATGATTGAAAGGATTTGTTTTCTGTTTCAATCTGTTTTGCTACAACTCGCAGAGACGATTTAAAATAATAAAGCTTTTTAACTTCCGATAAGTGAGAATTTTTAGAAATTATGCTATCAAGTTGAATTTTAAAATTGTTCCAAACCTCATATTGGCCAGAAAATGTTGGCAAAGGTATATCTGGGAATTTAATTCTGCTCCCAGTATTTTTAACAGTTGAATAATTCTGACTTTCGATTATTGGTTGCTGTCTTAAAGACGTTCTTAACAGTCTATGCGCTCGTGTTTTCAAAAGAATTATTCTTTCTTTATACTGTTCTGTTCTATTTCATCTTCCAAATCATCAATCGCAATAACCTTTTCTATTTCGCTGTCTACTAAATATAAGGCATGCTCTTTAGCTACTAACTGAGCAAGTAGTTCTTCAATAACCTCACTGTTTGGATTTAATTTTTCAGTTTCAATTTGGAGTTTATCTAATACTTTTGTAGTAATAGCTCGCAAAGATGCCCTTTTTTTCTTTATTTTTTGTATTTCCATATTGAATAGTCAAATAAAACAATTTTTCAGATAGTCCGAAATTTAAAGCAATATATAAATTAAACAAATGCAATGATTCGAATGCTTAAATTATACAGTTCTTAACTGAAAACAGTAGAATCAAAGTTTACTTGCCCATTTTTCTTAGGGTAACGACGAGCTGATCACTATATAACGATATCCAGGGACAAAGAAATCTCAATAAAGCAAAAGTTCATCCATATCCAATGAGACAGGGAATTCTTAATGAAACTAAAGTTCTACACAAAATCTTCACGAGCCAATTCCAAGCTCCGGCTAGACAGACCAAAAAATGTTTGTGTCAAAATGTGGACTGTATTAGGTGATATCTTTTAATAGTTTTATTAAAACTCGACAATAATATACGTAATACATTACTTAGAACCGAAGTTCTTGACAATTGACACCGATGTGACTTGGTGTCTCCCGACGAACGAACTGACAATTTTCCCGCCTAGTTGGTGGCATTCAGTTTGAATTGTAAGATTGCCAAGTTTGGCACAATTACAATTAAAGGCAACAACACACCCTCTTGCTAACCCCCCCCTAAAAAGTCAAATTAAATAAAAAAAAATTACATTCAGAATTGCAGAATTGAGCACATATCAAGCAAGAATTCTCTTGTATGTTAATTTTGTGAAATGAAGTAAGTGAGCCTACTTTTTAAATCTTATTAGGATTAAAAAAAATATTGAATACTTCATGAGAAATGGCAATTTCTGAAAATAATTCTCTTGATGTGCCTTTAATGAAAACTTAATCTTATCAACAATACTGAAAATGCTAAAAATTGCTCTTATTGATACAAGATGAACTTCTTATTTTGTTCTCTGATAAAAAAAAAAAAAAAAAAAAAATATTTGAGTAATGTTTTATTTTTAATTATTCTTATTACATTAAAAAATGTATCCAAATTTTTAAACAACATGAAAAGTTTTAAAAAAAAACACAATCTGTTGATACTGTATAATTCATTTTACAAATGGGATTGAAAGAATTTTGTTAAATGAAAGTAAAAGTACAAAATCATATTGGTATTTTTAAGTTTAAGCAATATAGTAACTTTTAATAGCATGTTAATGCCTTTTTATGTATCCTACGTTGCCTTGATTACAAGATGCTTGATTACAGCATCTTGTCTAATGCTATTAAAAGTATGCATAAATATAGAATAAACTGGAAGAATGAGTTTTAAATCATAAAATAGAAGTCATTTCGTATAAAATGTGACATCTACAGAGGATGTTTACACATCAGTATCCCTGGAAATTTTAGAAAAATCTTTTCTATTTTGAAACCATGATGCAGACTTAATAGTTCAGTGAAAAAGCTGTCAAATCGAACAACTAAAAAAATACTCCATCTGACTTGTAAAATTTGACTGAAAAGGCATTTTGAACTTTAACCTTTTCCTGACCGCGCACCTTTGTTTAAGACGCTCGTGCGGGATGAAAGAGAATCGAAGGCAGTCGCCGTACAGGACAGAGGTTTTGCATCGCTAAACCTAATTTTATAACAAAAATCAGAAAAACAAAAGTTTCGCTTCTAGCATCGTAATTTTTGGTATCATTTTAGATTATTACTTGAGCTCTTATATATATTAAAATTAGCCCTTAAAACATTTTTTTCTTTATTATACATGAAAATATACTTAAAAAATTGCTTATCTTCTAAAATAATTTTCGTAAACGCTATTCAAATTATTCCAAAGTTTTAATTGATAAAATCCATCAATTTTAAAATTAATAAAAAGAACACAATAAAGACTATTTACAGTAAGAAGTAACAAAATTTAAAATGAAAACGAGTGTGGTAAATCTCGAAGCACAGAGAAGTATCACTTTGTAACTCTTAGAAAAAGTATCACTTTTTAACTCTTTAGAAAATGAATCGGTATTCTCATTTGCATTAGTAAATGATTCACTAACCATATGAGGGTATTCTTCCTCTGATAAATAGCACCTTTCCGCCATAATAGACTGGAGGTGAGGCTTTCCTGAATAAAAAAAGAAGGAACGGAAATATATCTGAAGGCAATGCAAAATGTAAAAAAACTCCGCACAGTAACCCTAAAAGACCGTACATAGTAGAGGAAAAAATAGAATAAAAAAAGGGATTGTATATAAATCAGGTACAAGAATGTTTTCAGTAGCACGCAGAGATTTAAAGAGCCCACCTTTGTTTACACTTTCTGTCCCCCCCCTCGAACAGCTGATGAGTAAAATACCAAAGTCAAGTAGAATACAGTCAAAAGTCGTTAATTCGGACACATATAATCCGGAATGATCTATAATCCGGACCTCAAAGCTAAAATCTTTCTGCGCATGCGCATAGGCATTTTACGCGTGCGCGCAAGACATTTACGACTGCGCGTATACGTCTGTGCAAGCGCAGAATACGTTTTCGCGTACACTTTTAATGTATAACGGACGTTATAAGCTAAAATTATCTATTTCAGTTGATGTTGATGATTGCGTTGTTCCTTAATCTTCGAATTGGATCCGACTTATTATTTTTTGCAGACTGTTGGAGCAATTTTATAAAAGTAAGCTTGAACTTTCGATTATGTCAAATAGAATTTCCGATGCTGAAGCTCCCAAAGGATCTAGAAAACGAAAGTATGTTTCGATGTCCATCAAACAAAAAACGAATTGCTACAAAAAATGGATAAAGGCATATCCTTTGTTTACCTAACCGTTCCGAAATCTGTTTATCAATTTCACGCTGCTCTGCATGGGGGGAGAGGACGTCGCGGCGCGCAATGAACTGGAAGTTGATCTGTCAGCACTATCGTTATCTTCAGGGCAGATGTTTTTATTTTATTCGGCTTATAATTCCTTACTAAATGTAGTATTTAATCTCGATGTACTCCGTCTTTGATATGATTTAAATCAAATTCCTCATCATTATAAATATCACGAATACAAATCAAATAGTTTTCTGGTTGCAATTTTCTAATTTCGGCTATGCGTAAAGTATGCTTTACGCATGCGCGCGTTGAAAGAAATGTTTAATAAAGTAAACAAATAAATATTAAGCTTCTTTTTTTGTAAATTTTGATACCCTCTAAATCATAATTGCGCATTATTTTATAAATTACGGTTTCATATTTTTAATTTTATAATTTCTGCATGCCATCTTACCAGATTTAAACTGATGATCTATAATCCGGAAAAATCGATAATCCGGAGTCGCCGAAGTCCCGATTAAAGACTGTATATCAAACTCAAGGTTAGGAACCTAAAACTGTGTTCATTTCAAAAGTAATGTACACAGGATGCCACCTAGTGTCCTTCAGAAAAACGTTCCACCTTAAAATGCGTATACGCATCACCTGTCCTCTTAATGCGATCTTTACTGATGCGTGGATGGGACGCCCGGCTGTAAGAGACGTTCTTAGGGAATGTGTATATGAGATTCCCGTCCTGAAAGGGTTAATTAAATTGCCTCAAATTCTTTCTAAAAATGTGTGAACACTCTTTGTGTGACCCCAAGATTTACTCATGCTTGCACTGTGTATTTAATTGCATCTGATGCTATACAAGATATCTGATATAAAATATTTATATATACCTTTAAAGTGCATAATATGATATTTTATGTGGTCATTATTTTTACAGGGCAGGATTCAGAAATGTCTGATTGAAAACGCAACATCACTTATGATGTAAAACTTGTACAGTATGAACTCTTATGATGTAAATATGTTTTATATGACTGAAACAAATTGTATGTCAATAAATTTCTGTGTGATTGTAATTAATAGTTACCTTTCTTTTTGAGCCAAAATGATTTGTTCAGGCATTTTATGTTTTGAAAATGTTACATCTTTAGCCAGAATCCAGTCATTTTGTGAAATAACTGACCATTTGTAGCTTTGACCACTTCATGTATTAGTAAATTAGTATAAGTGTTTAATTTTGATCACCACTGTCCACAGCTAAAAATGACTGTCATTTTACCGACTTTTATTATTTGATTACTAGATTAACATTAAGATTTTTGCTGTAACTAAGAGATGACTTTCTGATTCTAGCTTTGGCCATGTTACGTGGTATAAGTCAATAGTATTAAATTGTATTTGGGGGGGGGGCTTTTACCTTCTATGCTAGCCAAAGCTGGAAGTTGGGAACTTTAAGCTGAATTATGCATTTTCAGTTTGCAGAAAAAAAGGAAGTCCCATACCACACCATTTGTTCCTATGAAAAATATATATGTAGCAGAGATTAGTGACATTAAGATTAACAATTATTTACAAGAATATTGACTACTGCTGAAAATCTGTGAAGCTGTTTTTGATTAAATTTTCTGAAGATTTAATTCTCTTAAAAGAAAATAAACCTGTACAGAAGTACACTCTGCACATACACACACGAAAAAAAAAAAAAAAAAAAAAAAAAAAAAAAAAAAAGAGGGCGGACAGTTCGATATCTCTCATATTTTACTGGGCTGATTGACAATATTTAACATGCCTTAAAAATGCAATGTAGGATATATATTATATTTATATATAGCATTGTTCTAACATAGGTATTTTGACGCAAAATCAGACTTTTTCTGAAATGACATACTGATTTTTCCCCATATTTCGATTCTACGATTCAAATTATCCCTGAATATTTAATTTGTAAAATCTGGTGCAATATTTACCAAGAAATTTAAGAATTTATCTTGATTTTTCAGTGTGCATCAAGAATAATTCACTTGGTGAAATTCTTAATTTATGGTAACCTATTATCTTTCCCTTTCATTGTGCACGAGTGGGTAAAAATATGCTTCATTCATTCTTTCAAATAATTTTAACAAATTAATTGCATAAACCACATTTGGTAATATTATCACTTATTAGAAATATGTCAAGTTTCAAAACGGGCCAATATGTAAATTTACTTATATTTTAGGGAATTTTGAATTAAAAGCTCTAATTTTTATGCAGGTATGCTTAGAAATACATTTACTTATGTATTTCTAAGCATTACTTATGAAAGGCAGAAATACATTTACTTATGTATTTCTGCCATCATCTTAAAGATGATGGCAGAAATTTTATAGGTTATAATTAAAAAATGTTTTCAAAAAATTTTTAAAAATTACTAAAAAATACAATTTTAAAAACAAATCAGAAAATATCTGCGAATTTTATTTCTATTGGATCTAAATTCTTAATTGCAAAAGAAATCAAGTAAGTTTAATAATAATAAAAAGATATAGATAAATATATACCCAGTTCAATTAACATTGAGGAGCTAATTCTTTAAAAACCACTCTGCAATTTTAACAAAATTTGGCACTTTGCCATAGTTTGAGTCATAAAATCAAAATATTGAAAAAAATAGCTATGTCGTTGTAGAAAAATTTCAATTTTGTGGCAGAATATCTGTGTTAGTGCAGTGCTATATATAAATCTAATATATATCCTAATTCGCACTTTCAAGCCATGAAAAATGCAAGTTAAATTTCGTCAACTAGCCCATTAGAATGGGAGCTATAAGAATTCCCCTTTTTTATGTGTTTTTCTCATTTAATAGTTAATGTTTTTCTAATAAGAAGTATTTTTATTTGTCAAGTATCTGGAAACGAGAAAACATCTTTTGTGAAAGGGTTATTTTTTCCCTTCGTGTGCAGAGTTTCTAAATTTGGTATGCTAATAATTTAGTCCCTTATTTTGAAGTGAAATCTTTTTGAATTCACCATAAATGTTTTCATCTACTAAATTGATACATTTTTTATTCATTTAGTTAAAGTTTAATTTCATTAAATTGAATTGGCATAGTCTTATATAAAAGTAATTTGTAATACACGAGTTAGTAATATTAAGTTATTAAATTTGTAACTTCACTCATAGCTGCTTACAACTTTATTTGAAGAATTAATTAACCTTTTCCTAAGACCCGGAACATATATATCTCGTGTTAAATAAGGCTGAAAGAAATTTAGCATACTATGGGATTTAAAATTTTCTTTAAATGCGGAGCGAGAAATTGCAGATCCTGCTCAATATTTTTCTATTCTTTATTCATTTAATCATTGACTAAATGGCTTCAATGCAAAAAAAAAAATTAGTCTCTATAGCTGATGTGAAATGTTAAACTATTTAATATTGAGCGGAGATTAAGCAGAAAAGAAAAGTCCTTCAATTAGCACTGAAGATAATCTTTTGATAAATATGACTTGAAAATGTTGCCAGTCACTTTTAACTTTCAAAAACTACATCTTTACTTACTATAAAGAAATTAGTAAAGTAACCGAAGTTGCAAATTATGAAGGAACTAACAAGTTACAAATTAGCACCTAGTGCCGCTAAATTTTATAAATGGATTTTAAAAGGTTAGGATTAAAATTCCTAGAAAAAGCCATAAGGATATTTGAACTCAACCTATCCCTTTTTCTTTTTGCAATGTGTTTCGGAAAAAGGGATAGGTCGAATTCAATATTCTTATGGCCTTTTTCTAGGTATTTTAATCCTAACCTTTTAAAATTTACTTGCTATAAGATATATCAACAAAGTCATTTAACTTTTTAAATAAAATTGCTGAAACGAAGTTATTATGGAAATTGGCTTAATCAAAAGTAACTGATAATAACATAAATTTGATTTTAGAAGGTCATTGCCATTCAGATTTTGGAGTACTTTGTGAAAACGGAAATTAAAAATGTTTTTTTTTAATAATTTCAAGAGGGGACAGAATTTGTCATGCATTTATACCCTTAATGTTCTTAATTCTGTATAACAGAATACCCAACTTCGTGAAAAACAATTTTAATGACAAAGAACATATTTAGTTAAACAGGTGCACAGATGGATGTTATAGCAGTCCCATATACAATATTTCAATGTTGTATAGCTTCCTTCCCTTTTTAAAATTATGTCGTATACATATGTATCTACAGACGTCAATGGAAAAAATCCATTTTGGAAAAAAAGAGTATCTGTTCATGGACATCATGCAAAAAAAGTAGTCAAAATGGATATATCCTAAAATTTTTTTGCAGTTACTATGCATCATTTACTTCGTGCAAGGAAGTAAAATTGCTCTTAAATTCATTCGTTTTCCTTGATTTTTTGCTGAATGGTTATAACAGAAATTATCACAGATTATATAGAATTTTAAGAAGGATCATGAGGCATAATGTAAACAGAAAGAAAAAGCGTAGTTATTTCCCTTTTGCTTTCTTTTACATTTCACGTAATGGTATAGTAAGTTAAATTTCTTTATATAAACAACTCAACAACTCATTTCACCCGCAATTGTTATTTCATTGCAGATGGGAAGAACCATACTAATTTAATATTCACTTTTCGTTATGAAAATGACAATACCATGAAGGAATCAATACAGTAGAACTTGTTGAAGTGTAAATCATAATTTGGCAAGCAAATTTCTATTATTATAAAATAAGAATTTATTTAGGAGTTCAGCACATGATGCTAAGATGCATAGACCAGAATTATGAAATTTGGAGCCATGTGTTGTGTAGAAGATGAAAGTATGCACTTCCAAGCAATTTTTTTCATAATTCAGCTCAGTTTTTTATTTATTTATTTATTTTATTTTTTTTTTTTTTAAATCTGACAAGTTGAAACAATTTATCAGATTTTCATATATATCTTTGTTTAACAAACAAATAAAAAATCTGAAATTTTTCTATTTGCATCATAATTCAAGCATCCAAAAATGTATTAACATCCATTTCCAATTTCTCTTAATGTTTTTAAATACCAGCATTTAGAAATGAATGTGTTATAAAGTTTTGAAATGTTCACAGATTATAAAGCAAACTCTTATATAAACATATAATTATAAAAACAAAAGTAATATTTTTTTATGTGTGCGTGCATGCGTTTGTTTGTTTTTAGAAGTTTTTTGAAGAGAAAGTTTTTGGAAAAGTTTTAAAAGTAAGACATTATATTGGATCACTTCATAAATAATGGAATATTTTCAACTGAAGAAAGTCAAAGGGGAGCAGGATAAACTACCTACATCAGCTTGCTATATAAAAGCAGATAGTAGTTTTACTGTATTCTTTTTTTTTAGTACAAGTTTTCAAGGTTGTAGTTCAATTTTTAATAAATTAATATTTTGAGTTATTTTAATACCTATGGGGATTGGAAATAAGCACAAGCCAGTGTCAATGGTGATTCCATCATATAGTGTTCAGCGATGAATCCCGCTTCCCTCTTGAAGCAGATGACCGCCATGCTTGTGTATGGAAAGGACAGGGCCAGCAGTCCCAATCAGCCTTTGTTTTATAAAGGCATTCAGCCATAATTGCTGGTGTGACGGTGTTAGGCTATTTATTACAGTACCTATGGATATGTTGATTCTCCTGCGGCCGTTGGCATTCATGGGGACATGGGGCTTTTTCCAACAAGATAATCCAGCTACAATACCGCTCACATATCAGATGTCTCCATGCGGTACTTTTCCTTGGCCAGCAAGGTTACCAGACCTTTCACATCGTTTGGGATACATAGGCGATTGGAAACAAAAATCACAGATTTTGAGCAACAACTGATGAATGTGGGGAAGAATGTGTCACAGGATGACATTAGGAACTTCTACTACAAAATATAAGTGTAAAGCTAACACACACACATGTACAAAAAAAAATTGCTTGACAAAGAGAGGCATTTTTTATCATTGAGAAAATTCTGATTTCTTAAAGAAGGTGTCCTGATTTTTGAATGTCGTAGGTTGGAAAGAATGTTCTCATGAGTACCATATGCTTGAAGACCATTAGGTATATTTAAATTAAGATTTG